AAAAGCGATACTATCAGCTCTCTTCCTGTTTTCAACATCAGGATTATTCACCAAAAGATAGAGCACAAATCCATGAGGATCTTCGATACTTCGAAACTTTTTTCTCAAAACTGATGGCACAGTGTTTTTCTTATCACTGAGCCATAACATTTCCAACTTGACTAAAAATTTGTCCCCACTTAAACTGCACCAATCAATTGTATCCAAATCAACGTCTTCTGCAGCAGACTGATACTCATCATTGCTTATGGTACTGTGTCTGGCGCCCTCTGTAGTTCTCTTTTTTGACGTCTCTTGATTGGGTTCATAATTCTCTTCTTGCTTGTGCAAGACATTTTTAGATAGAGTACTATTATTTGTTCTTTCAGCTGACTTTAAAGCATGTTTTTGCCTCCTAGCATCAGTGTTATTACTCGAAGTAGCCCGACTGAGAAGGATACAATCACGTTTTGTATCTTCTTCATTTAGGAGCTGCCCTCCTGGATTTTCTTTGATTATATTGGCTGCCAAGTGCTGTTCCACTGCTGGAAGTAATGTTAAAAATTCATTAAAAATGTAATGGTCGTCATCAATAATTTTGAAATCATAAGAATCACTTGAGATTTGGCATAATGTAAGGTTTCTCACAGTAAATTAGCTCATAGTCATGAGTAGATATTACAAATGGTTTTGTATATAATGAATAACAGTAGAAATGTTTTAAATTAAACCAAATGGAGGCAATGAAAAAACAAAATGGCCACCAGTCAAGTTGGTATGTACTGTTAAGATTTACAGAGTTGACAAAAGATAATAATAATTGTTTATTTCATCTTAAGAAATACACATTTCTTTGAGTATATATAGCAATAGAAATATTAATAAAAAAAAAAAAATAACAAGTTAGTAAGAAAAATTTGAAAAAGTAAATGATAGACATATGATATGATATGACAGACGCACAAAACCTAAAACACAGAACAAGTCTCTGATTCTGACCACACATAACTCGTGAAATACATGAGACTGCATTTTTTTAAAATGAACAATGCAGCAATTATGTTTGATATTGCTACTTTCATTCATAAGTTATTTGTCTATGGCAGAAATCCCTTTCAAAAATTGTTACAGAGCTGAATATTTTTCTGAAAAGTCAAGTTATAGATTTCATTAATCATGTAAGGATATATTGTTTCGTAAGCTTCTGTCTGCTTGACATGCGAGTCTAAAGATTGTTACATGATTAGAACTGTTCAAACCTTTTTTACGAGGTTGCGCCATTCTGCTAAATCTACTATCATTATGCCATGTACTAGACCGCGTTCTGACATGTGAGACACGTCAGTGCATACATTTATTGAGATACGTTTATTTCTTTTCATTAAATTCAATTACCGGTACCGGGTAGAAAAAATAAATATTGAAAGAGAATTGCATCCCCTAATGATAATCAATGTTTTCCTCAGTATTAGGTTGACATCTACTGTTGAGGTTGGTTCCAGCACAGTCCCTCTATGGTTCCAGCCAACTTATTCTAATCTTGTAGCGATCCTGCGATGTACATAGCAAACCAGTCAGCAATTTTCCTTGCAATATTGCAGTTTTGGTGTCCAAAACAATATGGGGGTGACATTATATCCATGTTGCGCAAATAATGAAATTTAGAAGGAGCACAGTATAGAGGAACTGTGTAAGGAACCTTAAAATCATCGTATATGTATATTTATTTTGAGAGTGACACATATGCAAACCAATATAAGAAACACAATATTATGATTTGTTTCTCACATTCTCGCAGCAAGACACTTTTCCACAAAATGAGCCAAGAAAAAAATTACCTCAAGCTATCCCAAGATAAGGTCATGTACATGCAATAGTATACTTAATATTCACCAACACAAATATGGAAAACAATCCGGTTTATTTTACCATTATTTTTTTTCTACTTTAATTTTCTTGTCAGTTTTGTTTTTTATTCTCATTTTGTTTTTCTTTCTTTGCATCTGTATTACACTTCATTCAAAATCCCAATAGGAATACGAACGCATCAAAGAGTATACATCTGTCGCAAGCATGTCGTAAATTTTCTACCATATTAGGAAACGTAAATTCCAAATATGGAGCGATTACGTGCGTAAGTGTTCTCTAATAAAAAAAAATAAACATGGCTGCCCCCAGGGTTTGAACGGACGCCACACAAAGAAGTTTACTGATTCTGTTCTAAACTTTTTGGATTTCAGCATTCCCATGATGTATTCCTGGGAAGAAAATGTATAATAATAAGATTATTACGAGATACTGCACGGTGATCAATACTCCCTCTGTACTGTCTTTGTGCATACTTTGCAGTATCCGCGGAATAACCTCATATTATTATTACACTACAGTGCTTTATTTTTGACAAATTTGACAAACAAATTTGAGATGTGATGGCGAATTCACCCAATTTGGAGATATACAAATTGTCTCGTTGTCTTTGTTATATCTCTAATTTTTAATTAATGAAGAAATGGACAAGTGACAGTGTTCTCTGGTGATTTTACACAAATGTATGCTAGCCTGTGTATCATCGAAATCGATTAGACACAAACACGTGATGTAAAAGTCATTCGGTGACATACACCTCATTATGCATGTATGAGACCATGTAACGGCGTCAGTAGTCACTTGTACTACAGAGCTTGTTTCTCCTTCGTGATTGTATGGATCCTAATCTCTACAGGCACACAGTCTAGTGTGACAAGCCAGCAAGGCAAGCACAGTCAACTGATTGTCAGATAGTATTAGTGTGTGCGAGCTCACCATTTTGTCCAGTTAAAATCTTCCAAGTCCTGGCCAATACAATGTAAACTAAATGACCCAATGTTATCATCGTGTATCGGTGACACTATTTGCCGCGATATCTAGTGCTTCCTGTGTTTGGTATCGGACATTACAGCCGGTTTCATCATGTACATACACACTCAGTTGCGAAACTAACTTTCGATATGGCCGCTCACTGCCCCCATAATCCTTTGCACCGGAAGAAAGAAATCCGGAAGTAAACAAACGCACGTGGTCGCGTTGACATGACAGCTTGGAACGCGTGGAACACATCGGCTCAGGACATGATGGTGTGTCGCGGTAAATTTTGTTTGTAGTTTCAGGTTAACCGAAGACTTTAGAATGTGTGAATATTGATTGATAATGGATATAGAAGAAGATCGTCACGATTTGCAAGAGACACGATCTCGTAAACAACTGGGTTTAGAACATAGCGACGACGCTCGCCTTCGACCGTTTGTTAGTCACAAGTGCTGGGTGGAAAAATGCTGCTTTTCACCCGATTCTTCCCTTTTGGCTACCTGCTCCGGTGACCAGACAGTACAGATATGGAAGATAAAAGGTGGCGAGCAAAATACCGATGCGATAAAGACGTTCCCCCACGATTCTATGGTATGGTGCTGTGATTTCAGTCCGGATGGCGGCAGCATCTGTACGTGTTGTAGCAGTGGCAGCGTTCACGTCTGGGACATTGGAACACAATCGTGCCGTCATACATTCACTGGGAAGTCAGGACCCGTGTTCAGTTGCAAGTTTGGAAGAGATGCTAACGAGGTATTTTCGGCAGGGGCGGACAAAGTGGTGACATTGCTGTCCTTCGCTGCGGGAAAAGCAGAAGTTATCCGCGTTTTTAGGGGCCACACGAACGTCATTGACGACGTTGCCATCTCCCCTAGCCGAGATATCATCGCATCCGCCTCCAAAGACAGGACCGTACGACTGTGGTTTTTCAGAACTGCCACATATAATGATTCTGGGAGGATCAAAACGAGAACGTTGAGGGGTCATACTCACTGGGTGACGTCATGCATATTTTCTGGCGATGGAACTTTATTGGCCAGCACGTCCCTTGATCGGACCGTTCGACTTTGGCACGTCGGGAAGATAAAAATTGTACACGTTTTGAAAGGTCACTCGTGTATTGCATGGAGCTGCAGTTTTGTTAGTATTGGGCAAACACAAATACTTATGTCGTGTGCAAGCGACAAAACAGTAAGGTATGACACCTACGTATACTAGGGAGTTGTAATTACTCAAGACTACTTTTGATTTGATTTCAAGACTCTGATAAGATTTCTTATGTAACTATACAAAATTACAAAACATTGTTGTCTTTTACATGGATTAGTGAGGTTTTCTACAAATCATACAAAATGTAGATTTATTAATAACTATAATATTTAGATTTTATGGGATGTATCCTTTTTTCTGTACGAAATTTCAAAAGCCATAAACTTCACTGCAATGATAAACCTGGTCAATGTGCTGTGTTTTTATGGTCCACTTTCTACGTAGAACTCGACACAATCATCAGCAGTGTATACATACGTATGTTGCCATGGTCTTACTAATGTATTGATGCGATTTTGTTGTTCGTGCCGCAGAGAGTTCGAGAGTCGATTTAATTTTTAAAGTGACACATGTGGATACGGTGAATATTTTTAAGCCCATTTAGATAATCTATAAATATATGTGATATTTTGTTTGATATTGTATCTTTGTAATAACATTATACTGTGATTTCTTAAAATTAAATCTTGTTTTGGCAGTTAACGCAAGAGTATTCAATCGATAAAATACTAGTGACAAAATAAACACTAATGCGCATGCGCTTACACTTATAGGTAATTAAAAACTTTTTATCGCACTACCAGTATTATACTATGTTGACTGCCAAGGACATCATGTTATGATGAATCATACCCCAATGTTGTTATCAAGATACAATATATCAAAGAAAAAATGTTTAAACATTCTCTTTTCACTATAATATTGTTGTTCGCCGTTATTATAACTTGCTGACCCAATTTGGATTTTACAGATACTGGGATCAGACCACCGGGAAAGAAGTTGGTTGTGAGAGGGACATTGGCGCCGAGATGTCGAGTGACACCCATGGCAATCAGTTACTTACGTGCGCCAGTAGTAGGGATAACAGACATATTGCAGTCGGGGACTATGAGGGCAGGGTGTTCATGGGGAATCTGCAGGAAATGTTTCCAGGTGTCGGCGTCGACGAGGAAGTACAAGAAGCAGCCAGTGATAAACTCAGAAAAAATGTCCAATGAAGAAATAAGCCAACATCACCAATTACATGCGGATGATAATACGAGATAAACACAAATGTTAGCATGAAATATCGATTTTTTTTAAAAGTTGTAAAAATCATAACTGATAAAGAATACCAAATGAATGAATATATAAAAATAAGCTACAACATTTGTTGCTTTCGTTTTTATACATTCGCATTGTGTGGTTAGTAGATTGGTCCAGTATGTTGTGTTTTCAGGCTTAAGGATGTGTGAAATTACAATTGAATTTCACTTCCAAAAAAGTGTTCCGTACCGACCCATATACGCTGCCCCATTGAGCCCGAGTACACTTGCTGATATCAAGAGAAAAGGAAGCTCTTGTCCCGTGGAAATCGGAAACACCGTTTGCGAGAAGAGTATTTTTGTTATTGCTAGAAACAATATTGGTCTTCAATTCAAGATTGTGGAGGAAATATAACAAATAAATATGATACAGTCAAACCACTGTGATTGCAGTTAGTGAATGTCAACCATTCTCGTCAATTCCATCAATTTAATTACCCTAATGTGAAATATTTTTTCTTTAAATCCACCAATTAAAACACGTACAAATTAATGAACAAAATCAAACTCACTTGTAAGATAATTGCACAGAAAACACATTCGCTCACCCACTGCCATCGCTGCTTTCGGCTTCCAACCACAAGGCAGACGCGGCAAATAAATATTTTTCGGGTAAATATATATAATATAAATAAATATTTTATTCTAGGCTAGTTTAGCTATGTGTCCGCGATAGTCTAATCAGTCTAGTCTAGTTTGGAAACCTGTGATGTTCTAAAAGCAGAATACACTATAGTCTAATTTATTGGGCTAATCAGAGTGCAGCAGTCTAGTTTTTTGTCTTGTGGCATTCTAAAGCGGAATGCACTTGTCTGGTTTCGACCCGGAGTGGTCTAATCAAAATGCGATTTTTGGGCCAGGGATGGTCAGAGTCTAGTTTGAGGTCTGGGATGCCGGGCTGAGATGGTCTAAACAGATTACACTGGTCTCGTTTTGATCCTGGGACAGTCTAAGCGGAATGCACTCATCTAGTTGTTTAATTAAGGATCAAAGCAGGAAGTAATTGATTTTTTGGCCTGCGATGGTCAAAGAAAAACGTGTTTTTTTTTGTCATTGATCCCCATGCTCTTCAAAGAAGTCACTACCTACCACCAATCATTGACGTTATACTACCTGAATCAAGCAAAGTAAAGTATATTTGATGCACATAATGAGAGCATATACCTATATCTACCTTTAGTGCCGCTTTCAGTGGATGTTTTTGTTATGTTATGCATGACAATTGGCATATCTGTGATCTCTGAAGAATACCAGCATAGACTGCAAGGTGTAAAATCTATGGTTGGTGATATACATGTATATGAAGGGCATACCGACCGCAAAGCTACCAATGACCATTGACGAACACAGTTCTAGGTGTAGCCCTATCCAGAATACGACAACCGACAGATCTTGCCGATGGGGGGGGGGGGGTTGTTGTTGTTGTTAACAGACACAGAGACTAGGTATGTATAGACGGAGAAAGAACCGTTGGAGTGGAGTGGTGGAATGATTTAAAGCGGGAGGGTCGTCACCTGCGCACGCGAGGGAATTGAGTCCCAAGCGACGACTATAACAACACACGCTAAAAACGCAAAGGTTCATGGGTAGACGCTTGTTTGTAAACAATGACACGCTATGACCATCTGACGCATGCCCAGGTGACGACACCCCCGCTTAATCAGTACGTATATGGCAGACTAGTTACGATACAGGATGATCACAGGACTTCGGAAATGATTCTGATGAAGCAATCTCAAACTACTGCAAAATCGTTGAGATGCATCAGTGTAATGTGAACTTAGTATATCGCTTGGGAAAGCAAATGGATTTGGCTGATACCTTGAGCCGTGCATACTCACCCAAGAAACCACTAGATGGTCTACAGGTAGACATTGGAATGGTCAATATGGTACAAAGTCTACTTAATTCTGAGCCTAGGTGAGTAGAGCCGGCGACAACCAGCGTTGGTGGCGCTATAACATTTCAAAGTCTGTGTCGGCTCACGCAGATAATTTACGAGTATAAAAACAGGCAGGCTGCAAGTCGAGACCGGAAATATGTAGTTGTGGTGTTTTGTGATCAATACTTTCGATCAATACTTTCATAAATCACAGCGAAGTTAGTGAATGTTACAACAATTTATTACTCATCGGCATATTAACTGAGTTTTAATTTCACAAATTTACAGTGAAATAATGATACATAATGTTATTTTACATGTTCATCTGGATTTAATTTAACACAACTTACATATCAGCTAAAGTAGGGAAATTAAAACCCAGTGAATAATTAACGCATTTACAGTATACGTCTACATGTGATATATGTATTCGTGTTTGCCCCAACGGTAAGGACACGTTCACCTTTCGTTTTATTGTAGGTGCATGACACAAACGAAATATCAGTATTTCCACGCTGGCGGCGCTAATTCTCTGTAATTCGGGCAATTATGACGGATGGCGTTGTTAATGTATATTTAGTTAATTTTACTTATGTGAATACTTGAAATAGCTTTACAAAATATGTAAATGGTAGTACCATAGACTGTATACGGCCAATTATGCTGTTCGTGGTTCCTCGGTTTGTCAGTGCCGTTTTCGGTGAGGGCGTCCTTCTTACTACATCTATGGTCCAACATTGTTGTTGTACTAGGGACTTCTGTAAGTCTAAAATCAATAAACATACTACCATCGTTTGTCTGGAGGTATTATAACAATGATAATTACGTATGGAAAACAAGACTGGAATTTGAATAATCCAGAGTGACTAATGAGTTGACCTCTTCGTGGAAATGTTAATTTTTCAATGCTATGATATATACTGTCTGCTTTCTCCTATTAGGACACGTTGTACGCCACAATTTCCCAATGTCTTTGTATTCATAAATAAGACTTTGCATAGTTCACCTTGCTTCAGCTCCGTAAGTAACGAGAACTGGGAGAAATTACGAACGAAATTATGCGATCTACAAACATCTAGGGTAGCCTGAGTTGCGCCCTCCGCGGTGCTCCAAACCCGACTGTCTGATGCCGTTCGGCCGGCGAGGGCGCCACTCACGCCTACATGTCAGGCTAGCATCCAGGGTGGTTACCTAAACTGCTCATTGTATACGGCAACTGCGTGTTTAATCACAGTCTCATTATAGTCTATAGAGGGACTGTGTTTTAATAATAAATAAAAGCCACACTATTAGTGTTCGTCAGCTGCAAAGCCTACGCTGCGAATCGCATAGAGACTAGTTATGAATCAATCTGTTAGGGGTTGACCATTATTTCTGTAGGGGGGTCAAGCTACAATTGTAGAGAGTCTGAAAACAGTAATCTGCTGAACAAGAGTCATTACTGTTATATATTATTAAATTGAATAAACAGAACCCCCTACAACCAGTTAAACTAAATTATTACGTCGTGACTTGGCATCCCGGGATACTGCGTTCGAGCGTTAATCCACCTCCCACCCCCACAGTCCATCCGACGCGCTGACACGTGATCTTGGAGATGACGTAATTGTCAGTCCTTGTTCGCTAAGCTGTATGTATTATCCTATCAATGAATTAGCAGGTTATTGACCAGTCATTTGCAACCCATAAGCGGGAAAGTGCACACAACTGTCACACAATCTCTAGTACACTTATGCTGCCCCAGGGACTGACAAAACATGCACGAATGTTACAGTAGTCCCGGTTGGGGGATTAACCACAGACATCATAGATAAAAGCGTGACCTACTGGGTAGGATGATTCACCTGATGTCACGTTGAATTCAGTTGTCCGCATGGCATAAAGAAATAGTGCACGGTTGCAACTTCCGATCTCAGTAACAACATAATTATGGAGTCCCGAGGCTGCCTGGCGAGCTATTATTATGCCAAGAGGGATTGACGGACTGTTATAGAAACAATTTAGAATTTTTTTGGGAATGATGGAAAACCCATATGCGTAAAATGCCAGTTTTAGCAGCGGTTTTCAGGGACCAAAATGAAAACACATATCCTCCACTAAAATTGAGCAATTTTCAAAATACTTCTACACATCAAAAAATACCTTGTATGTCGCTATGTATCTTTTTTACACCGTGTGACATCGAGCAAAAGTATCAATGGAAAATGCTCTAAAACAGACAACACATGCTATTTTTCATTGTATTTTATTTTTCATTTTCTTCATTCTTGTATCATGATATAATATCAAAAATGTAAAAAAAATTAAGAAAATGACAATATTTTTACTTGTTTTTTCGTTTAGCAAGTTTATCATTTCGGCTGAGTCATTGCTAAACCGTCTGGGGCACAATTTACCTTGTTTTTATTGGTGTATAGTTTAACATAATATATGCACAGACACAAATAATACGGTGACTCACCGATGCCAGCAACAGGTGTCAGCTGGTCAATAGGATTACAAGGTACTTCATCAACGCACACACACTATCATATGGTAGGCATTTTGGAAAAAAGTTATAGTTACTTCTCATCTTACGATCACAAACTAACCGACCATGCATCTTTTTAAATGAAACTAGTAAAAAACATAATATACCTAAGACACGCCGACCCCTAAACAGTCACAACTTTCTGAGTTGAGAACCCTGGGCGCTAACGCGGTCCAGTGCGGTAGTACATGTTCCAAGCCCTACCGGTGCCCTCGCGGGTTTCCTGCCTGAGAAGTTAGTCTCAAGCGGCAGTCTACCGGCCTGGCAGTCACGTACCTTCCGATAAAAAAAAAAACGTAAGAGGACGTGTCGAAGGTAATATTTATTATGATGTAACTTTATTCAGTCGGGATGATCATGTGTGCTCCTCCTATATTCACTCTCGAGTCCATTGAACGGTGAAAAAAATGTGAAAAAGGCACGTGTAACGAATAATAACTTTGGGGTTGCATGGTGAAAGTACTGATGCAGGGCGGGATAGATGTGTTGCTAGGAGATAATACTCATTTACAGCAGGAACCTGGTATTGTGTCATAGTATTTAAAATTGTCGATCGGGAAAAAGGTGAGTTTATTTACTGGTCCCAACAGTTAGTGAATTTTATCTTTTTTTGCATGAGAAATGGAGTCGATATTCGTAAATCTACACACACACGTTGAAAAAAAAAACAATTCGAAATCAATCACCTCTTGCAACCATCTTTAAAGCTTTTGCCATCTCGGAAATATTCATTTTGTGTTGTGTATTTGAAATGTCAAATCATCATTTGGTAGAATTCAAGTTTACTGAAACTGTGTATAATAATCATTTAAAAAAATGTCATATAAATCGATCAGAAACACAGCCATGATCGGTTGTATCCACTCCACTATAGTCTCAGACAACAAAATGGCAAACCACTTTTTTTTTTGTCTGCGTATCAGTAGAACTTGAAATACGGTTTGCAATCACGTGGTTTACACATTTTCTCACGTTATAGCATTTTGAATAAATTCGGTCATGGTTTTACGTCTGCATGATGTATTAGAGCTCGTGGACCCACGCATGCGCAGCCACGTAAGCACTGCTCTGCAAGCATGGTAACACAGGGTATCAGTATTGTTACAAGCGTCGAAGCACCATCGAAATTATTGAGTGGTTTATTTGCTTATAGGCAACAATACTCGCGTGGCAAATACACGTAAAATTTATTGAACCATCTTTCTTTCAGATATCGTCATTATTATATTACTTCCAGTTCATATCCAAATCAACATGGATCTTAAAATTGCAGTGTTTTTGCTATTTGTGTCGCTTTCAAGCGCTCGATCAGGTGAGTCACTAACTATGTAACGGTGATGTGCGCGTGAGCAGATCTGATCAGTCGACATGCTGTGTGTGTAATATTTGGGAGCTGAAATCACGTCTGTCTATCTAACTGTATAAAATCATATAAATATATATATATATATATATATATATAGTTTCGTTGTTTAACCCAATGTTAACCAGTCACAACCACGGTTACTATAATTAGTAGATCAAATTTAGCAATGGCGTTGAAGACGTTCCGCTGTGTATGTTGATTCCGAGGTACACCAGAAACAAGAAACTGTTGAAAGATGGGTTAAAATAAAATATTCCGTTTACAGTTTAGTAACATCACCTAGTATTCAATATTTTTCTTTTAATAATTTAACAATTTTATACAATTTAACACACTTTGCAATTCGTTACAGAGGCATCGATTTCGGAGGCAGCGGTACAAGACCAGGCTAACGTGTTCTACATGCCCGGCACACCAACCAACGTCAGCGTGACAGTATCTTTCGACAACCTAGAAGATGTGGATAAAGAAATCACCTCAATTGAAATGTACTTAACGAATGCGGACGATTTGGCCACTGCAACCACGAAGTCAGATGCGTTTAGTACAACACTAGAACCGGCGCAGTTCGTCCCGGCTTCAACCGATGGTATAACCCCCGGTAGACTTGACATTCCAGTTACGACCATCGAAGGTGTCACGTGTATTGCTGCCAATTGTTTGGCTTATTCTCACGCGTGTGTCGGGTTTAATAACCAAGACACGGGTGCCAAGTGTATCACACTCGGCGCTGCTGATGGTGCCGCAGGTGTTAAAAAATGTTCGGGTAAGGCTGATCTCGCATAACGCGTGAAATCGAATGAATTTAAATTTGTATAGCTCAATTTCGAAATGCCGACTTTTCAAAGATAAATATGAGTTGAGATGCCCCTACTGCATCAAAATTGACCGTCATCAAATGTGTCTAGCACACAATTGGAAATATTCCCATAACACTGCTTTGTTTGTTCTGTTTTTATGTAACGCGGTATCTTGCGGTGAACGGGAAGGGGTCCGTTACAGCTCTCCACACCTCGCGTTGTCATATAAATATCGTGTTTGTTTTATGCTTTATCGAACAGATACCGTTCAAATTGAAGAAAATAAAAAAACAGTCTTCCTCCATCTGTATTTGGTATAAGCTATTTCTTCCAGGCAGTATTTTTTTCACAAATAACTATTTATTCACAGTATTCCAGCAGTTATTGTATGAGTATGATGACGTAACTGTTTTATGGTCAGACATGGTCTAATCTTCTGAAATAAATTATGTTTTCTCAAAGATCTCTTGATCAATTCCGAATTCCGGCTCTTCTGTCCAGAATTCGTCATAACATATTGATATATGTTCTTTTATACGTTTGTCACACCAAAGACACGCCCATACTTATTAAAACTTGATATGCCTGCCAACTTAATTAGTTGAGCTTTGCCCAAAAACTGCATTTGGAGTTGTCCAAACTAGCCTGCTGATTTGGTTATCTTAAGACAACGTTACCGCACACTTATTAACGCTATATTTCTAGCTGATTAATTGTTGTTTCAATGTTGTTTTATTCAGATTTGGCTATGCAGAGTTTCGCCGTTTCAGCTGGCGATGAAGCCATTACTTACAACACCGACACTGAAGTCACCATTGAAGCCACGGTCACAATCAACAACGTAGCAGAAGTAAACATCGCAGCCGCCGCCGATGGCGCACCGGACACTTTCTCACTGAAAGTGTTTTTCGCCGATAGCGACGATCTTGAGTCCATGGACGTCATCAAGGGACCAGTCGATGGCATTGCCGCAACCCCCGCCGATCTAACCACACTTAGAAGTGAATATCTGGGCAGTGAGAACGATCCATCAAGTCCGGTAACGGAGATCCAAGTCGCAATTAATGCTACTGTACCAACTGACAATTGCTCCAGCTTTAAATTCATGTGTGCCTATGCCACCGTTGCAGACGTTGTCAACAATCAGAACACGTCAAATGATTTCAAATGCCTACCACTAGGATCTCAACCTACCGAAGCAGACCCTGCGGCCGGTGAAGTCGAATGTAATGAGTATACCAGTATGCCTAGCCTGACTGGGTTTTATTTTCGCATATTTTCTAAAAACTATATGCGCTAAATTAAAAACCGGGTTAAAATGAATAGTTGTTTTTTCACAAACTAGTAAATTTAAGAGCTAGTGAGTAATCCACTAACATTGAACACTGAATATTTTCCCCCATACAAATACAAATAATTATACTTGAATTATCAATTTATTGAATTATAAATATAAATATTTTGTTATATTTAGGTAATAATGGAGTATCTCTGAAACTCGACGTCATCGTCGCTCTTCTATTGGCGTTAGTTTCCATGGCAACCACGCAAATGTTCTTCTGATCGACAAAACTTTGAAGGTAATGACAAAAGAACACGTCTGACTCACCGTGTAACACACTGAACGAGCGTATTCAAATTGTTCAACCGCGATGCCCCCCAAATGAGAGATTAGTGAGTCATTCTAAATACTAGGATGAATTGAAACGAAAGTACCTCCCGCTCCACAGCTGGTGTGAGATAGTAAATCACGTGACCCAAATGAATTATGATACGCCTGGGTAATGTGTACACGATACATGCCTATACGTGGTGTATTTACGTGGAAAAAAAATGTATATTAAAAGCTGATTTTTTGTTATACCTGATGGCACACTAAGAGCACGGAACAATGTTCGTTATTGATTTTAACAGGTACAGTCCTGTCTGATAGATGTTCGGTTGCTATGCCAATGCCAATAATGACATCATGCTTTTCAACGACATTATTTCTCCTGTAAAATATAGAAGAGAAACACTATCAGCGCTGCAATCATGTCACAGTGACTAATCTACTTTGTTTTTGTTTTGTTTTTTCATTTCAGATTGTTGTTCTTTTTTTATATATTTCTATACTTGTGGGTACTGTGCAGAAACCCTGATGGCGTTACTTATATCGCGTGATCTTAATAGGACGAGAGAATGACACGGTACGACGAAGACGAATACTGAAGTCTATATTCAATGATTCAAAGTACCTGACTCTTGTCGTTAAGCAGCCCTGCGCAATAAGTTGAACACGGACGTGCAGCTACCACGCCATTGGCTGACTGGGGCACGTGACATGTTTGTACAGTCACGTGTATACATTATTTAAATTGTAAAAGGTGATTTAAATGAAATTGTAGAAGTTCGTAAGGGGCGCTTGTATATTTAATAAACTAAAGTAAATACAATGAAACACAAACGTAGTTGTTTTCTGTAATTTCACGTGAGGTCAAATTGACGGGACACGGCGTGGTGTGATGACCGTGTTTTGAGCTTGGATGTGTTAGCATTCATGACGCAATAAGACACATAAAGTTTGCCTTAATTTCGCGTATTTGCCAAGTTTTAGTTACTGTAAAATACATTATTTTAGTTGGAATTAATGTTCGCCGAAAAGTAGTATTTTTGCGTGTTTTGTATAGTAGAGTTTATTTTCACCGATGTTTGTGTAATGTAAAATATAGGCGAAAAAAAGTATATTCACCGGATTTTATTTTCATTGAAATTGGATTTTATTGTCGGTGGGAATAAAGTATTTTACAGTATCTGGTTGCTTAGTTACCATGCCCGCGAATGTGTGTGTGTGTGTGTGTGTGTGTGTGTGTGTATAGGGGGGGGGTGGGTGGGTGTGGTGCTTGACATTCATACACTTCCTGTCATATGAAGTTTTAGATAGATATTTTATGATACCAGACTTAGTATTGTAACAGACATGCGAATTCTGCATTGTATGCATCTATCCAGGTTCCCTAAGAAAGGTTTGAGATATTATCCTACAAATACAGAAAACGTGTTTTTCATTAGTAAGCACACAATGAAGTAAGAACAAATTACAATTTATAACATTTTTGTGTCCGTAGACACATTTTTAGAAATCTCTAGAAACAATAGACAAACAGTGAATTCAAGTTGTGAACACAAACATGCACGCCCGGTAACATCGTGGTAATATTAACATCGAACAGAATGCCAGCAACATATTCTGGGGGAAAAACAGTTTTAGAACAGTGTGCATATTTAGATACCTTGCCTGGCAAGCTGGTGTGAGTTGCGCCCTCTGCAGTCTAGTTTGTGACAATCTGGCATGTCATGGCGCAACTTCCACAGGCGCCATGTGATACTTACGTAAGATTCCATGCTTATGACGCGTGTTTAATGGTGAATTAATATGATAAATAATATCTTATTCACAAACAGTATAAAAACGTAACAAATATTGAATAACACAAAAATGACAGTTTATAGTTGTAACTGTCGATTTTTTTCTCTGATTTTTATTTTTAATGAAACACTTCCTGTGTCAATTGTTAACGTCCATTGCCGAAATGCGAGAACTGAAAGCAGAGCATAAACGCTATGAACATCACCTGTAAGGGGGAAAAAGAAAGCCACAGGGTTGCGTCAAGACCTCTAGAGGGCGTGATCTATTAAAATCAAGTTTTGTTGAGCGATTACGGTACAAGATTACAACTTACTGGGAGCTTGGGCGAAATATCAAATACGTCGCCATCTTGAGGGGCTAATCCTCTATCTGACGGTCTCTTAATGATTTTATGTGCTATTTCCCATAATAGTGTACGTCGTGCATCATAATTTTTCACGGTCCCACCACGTGACCGTTTTCAACGAATGTTTGCAGCTATTCGACACATCGCATTTTATGTGACATTAGCCTTGTGAATGGCCACTTTGTCCATGCAATTGTCTCTAAAACAATATTTCGTCAGAATCTGGTCATCTTTCAGTGGTTAGATTTAAACAAAAAATGTTCAAAATCACAGTTATTGCCGCTCCAAGATACAACCTGGGAATTGACAACTGTATTTTCAAGGTTATTTCATGTCTGTAAGCTGATGCAAAGTTACTCATAGAATACTTGCTCCTTTCTACATAAGTCATACTTATATGTCACTCTTCAGCTAATTAAACGTTATGTTTTAAAATAACGCCCCATAGACTGCCATGTAACTTATTGAGCATTCATTGACTTGGACGAGCATTGAGCAGGTTATGTTAGACTAAATTTTAGTAACGTCAGAAAACGGTGTCAATTTTATGTACAATTGTTCATAATTGAATTAACCATGTTTTAATTTATCTTCATGGAATATTTAGTAACACCATGTATGTGGACAACTCCAAGTGTAGTCACGTTATGACTGGATATGACATGTTACAATGATTATATTGGGTATAAATTTTCAGCGTGAGTTGTTATCGTCACTTGGGACCCAATTCCCGCGCGTGCGCATGTGACAACCCTCCCGCTTTAAAATAACACGTGTGATTACTAGTATGCCAGAAATGACACTCGTACATTGCTTTATACCGATGTTGGCATGCATAGTATTATCACGGGTAAATTCTCTCTCTCTGGGGTTCTCCACACTTGCCAGGGGGA